GCACTAGCACTGAATACTAGGGCTTGTTTGTGGCTTTGCTTATTTACAACCAGAATAAAGTTATTTACATTACATAATGCTGATCTTAAAACTTAGAGAAAAACCACCTTTCAACAATAAACTGTTGAACTTATCACAACAATCTTGTACTCATTCTCACACTGTGAATCAAAGTCTCAGGACTTTATTCTGGAGACAGACGAACAATCTTGTACTCATTCTCACACTGTGAATCAGAGTCAAAGTCTCAGGACTTTATTCTGGAGACAGACATTCTATAAAATGTTAAAGGCAGGGAGACAGTAATGCCGCATCACTCACTCATAGGGATGGTCCCTGTTATTTTCCACTCAAAACACTTCTAGTTGTGCTTTTTCAGTAACCAAAGGTTGAATAGCATGAAGCATGCTATGGGAACAGACTTTAGAGAAAAATAAAGATTACAACATACATGTATTCTCACACCAGCACCTAAAAACATGTACACAACCAGGATGCACATAAGTGAAAGAAGACAAGTTCGTCAACAAGCATGCTCACACATGCATCAGGCACTCTAGTTTAAGGGAGCCTACAGCTAATATCAGACCAAGTGCAAACGGAGAAGGCCATTTATTTCCCTTTAAAACTGAGAACAAACAAACCAAGCCCAAAAATCACACCGGGCTTCTGTCTTCCTACTACTACTTGATTAAGTAATTGTATAACTTTGAAGTGATTCATCTATTCCTGATTAAGTCCAAGCATAAATATTTACTTTGGCATAAGAACATGATACTTAACATTTTTCAGGCATAGCTCAAACATTTAGGACAAGAAAAAAAAAATCCCCAAAATCTCTGCCATAAGTTGCAGCAAACTGATTCATATGAACAGAAGCCTTGCTTTTACTGAGGTAAAAAGACTGAATCCCTTCTCCTTTACTACGGGTAGCTACAGCATTTACACAGCATTTGCACCATTGAATCATAGCCCTAACAGGAAACACATTTGATTTTATCTTTTAGCAATTATTTAAAAATGGATGTACAGTCGACCTCTCTGACACCCCCTCACTTCATATGTAGGCTGTTCAGCACAGGGGGCTACCTGCCATTTGCCATTTCAGTTTAATACTGACATTACTATATTTTGTCAAGCTTAGCAGTGCAGATAGAGCAGTGAGATTTAATCTCACTTAAAACATATACCTACTGCAGAGCTGCCCTGTACCCAGCTGAGGGCTTTGCTGTTACCACACAGTCTGCCACTGAGCAGGGGTTTGGCTCGTGCTCCCTCATCCCCAGCTGCTTTCCCACCAGCCTCTCTCCCCTCAGTATCTCCCAGTCATTCACTCTCAGCCCGCCTGCTTCAGCTGCAAAATTGGCCCAAGGCACAGAAAACCAGCACAGCTGCTGCCCAGGCAGCCATACAACCTCACAAAGCCCTCCCTTAAGCATTGTGTCGGTCACCAGCCACCCTGCAAGCCTTCCTGTTTCCTCACATCCATTTTCCCTCCCATTTTCTCTCCTTTCCTCCCTCTCTCCCTCCCTCCTTCCTTGCCACAGCTCACCTGAGGTGAAACAAGATGGATGCCCTCAGAGGCCTCATTTTTCACAGCAGGAGGGCTGTTGCAGTACTGTTGCAGGGTGGATGATGCTGAAGCCAGCTGAGAAAAATCTTCATGTCAGCCCTGGACATCTGCCTAGGCAGGATCGATGTCGTGGTGGGATGAGGAGGGATTTCCTAAGGAGCTCGTTGCTGCAGTGAGGCTTGAGAGCTTGGTCAGCACTTCCATTCGCCATACTGAGCAGTTTTGTGCAGGTTGGTTCTTTCTTGTGCCTCAGTATTCCTGAAAAATGGCAATGGTTACATTGGCCATCTGTGTGGAACATTTTGGTTGTAAGAAAAAAGATACTTGTCAAGTACTCTCCTTGGCAATTCTGTAGTTGCTTATGTCAATGCCTCTTTCTTCCATGTTTTCTAGCCATTAAAATCTAAGCATTGCCTCAGATGTGTCTATAAAGAGTGGGAATTAGGTAGTAATACTCATGCTACAAATTGACCCTCTGTGTGCTCATTCTCTGTTAAACAAAAAGCAATTTATAATTCTGTTGTTAGCTTATCATTAATCAATTAGTATTTTTTCATAGGCCAAAAGAACACGTGGGTACTTGCTGTATACCCACTGTGTTACCTGCTGCCAATAGGCACTGCCTTGTCCTCAGCAAACTTGTGAAAGGACCTATAAAATGCTCCCATGTGACTGTGTGGAAAAAACTTCACTTCTGTAACAGTCTCTTCCTAGCGATTTTTACCAACGCATATTAAGGTTTTCATCTTAACTTTTTTCAGTGAAGAACAGCTTTCCTACATATCACAGTATTTTGAAAATTCATATTCAATTTCATATTTATTCATACAAGTTAGCATTATGAAATAGTATTTTGCAATAAATACAACAGTGTATTTCATATTTTTAAACTGATGCACTTTTTCTCTTAGGTTCAGTCAACTCTATCTTCCAAGATGATGGGAAAGGTGCTGGTAGGATACTGGTAGGAAAAAAAAGCCAGAATACATTATGGGAAACACAGTACGAAGACACTTCATGGCATTAGCTCAGGACAGTGGGAATGACAAGTTCAGGCTCACCATCAGTGCAGGATTTGCTTGCAAAACCACATCACTCACTGTATGGTTCTTTCGCCAGCACAGAACCCAATAATATATCTGAAGTGTGAGCTGTTTGGGATCAGGAGCAATGCAGGGAGTAGAGAGAGCTCCAAGATCATTCCTTAGAGCTGGATCCTGCTGGTCCCAAACTGACAAATCCAGAGTGCCTTGGGTATCTGAAATGCAGTTTGCTACACAAGGATCACAGAACTAGACCACAGTTATGCATTAGTTATCACAGACAACTTGAACACATTAAGGCTCTTATGATATTTTATTGGTTTAGTACGGAGCTAGGAGATTATACATATATCCAGGACTTTGGGTTTTTTGTTGCTTATTGCTGGGTCTTGGCACTTTTTTACTATCACAGGTAAGCTCAGGGCTGTTCTGTTCAGGTAAATGTAGTTGTTATCTACCTGGAATTATGAGTATGTTATCCTAGACAACAGGGAAGTTCTGAGCAAGATCAAAGAAATATTCCTTTATCTTCCCATTTCAGTGGAAATACCAAGAAACTGAAAGCTGTATATACTATCTCACAGAAAATTAGTTTATTCTAGGGATCAGGAACATTCTCGATACGTTTGGACTTGACTTCTTCCTCTGCTCATTCCACTCTGAGCACTTTATACAGTTGATAAAGGAGAATCACAGACCAACTTTCTTGATAAAAAAGTGCATTTTCTTTGCCATTAAAAAAAAATCCAGACAGAAAATTCTTTTGGGTCCAAGAAAGCTTGCTTGGTTGCTGTGTTTCATGCAGTGCTAGTTCTGTTGTGTACTGAAAGAGGCTGTTTATGGATTTTATGAACAGCCATACTTATAGTAAGTAGGCTAATAGGGAACTAAGAACAAGTGAAAACAAAAGTGAAAGACACCAATGGTTTTGTTTTAAGTGCAGTTGAGATGCCACCCTGGGTGTTCCTCCACAATATGGCATAGCATTGCAGTAGCTCCACCCATTTTCCCTCAAGGAAAACTCAGACCATCCTGGTTATATTTTTCATCTTTCCTGTTAACAGAGATGCAGTGTTTAAAACTCAAAGCTGAAGGGACAATAGAACCTAAAAAAAGAAAAATAGAAAACAAAGAACCTTTGGCCTCACTTGGTATAATTTTACAGGAACTTTAGGTATGACAGCTTGCTTTAACATCCAGCAATAACCTTCTACCATCAAAATCAACTAATTTGTAAAGTCTGTCCTCTATCTGGGAAAAAGTGGTAAGATTACAGGTGTATAGCTACTATTCCCAGTTAGGCTTCTTGTGTCTTGCAAAAGTAATCAGCTACTACTCTGCTGAACTTGATGCTACATTCCTAATTCCTTTCAAATTGGATGTTTAGCATAGAAGTAAACAGCACATTGGCATTTACTAGTATTAATACAGTTCCCTAATCTGCTGCTAGCTAGTGAAGAGTTTACATACCTTACCATGTCTCCCACACTAGATAGTAATCAACATGTTACTTATCTTTTGCTGCCCCTGCAGTGACATACTCCAATTTTCATCTTCTTTTCTTGTGACAAAAGAAAACAAAACTGTGTTTCTTTATCTGTACTTCTGTACGGCACAGTTTATTTCAGTTTTGAGTATACTAATATGCAAAGGACACATGGAATAGTTTGTATTGCTCTTGGCCCATTTCCTTGATTCTCCTCATTGCCTCTAGAAGAGCTTATTAGGAATTAAGAAGCTGATCCAAAGTTCCTGTTTCATTCCAACGCAGAACTAAGCAGAATTATCCAATTCACTACCACTGTCCTCCTTGGGATCCTACCCCTGTTAAGGAAAAGCCCTTCACTGGTCATAATTTATTCCCTTACTACTTATTAAAATGATACCAACTCCAATTAGTGATAACAGACTGTAGGAACCTGCCTAAGTTTTTATGGGGACAGAACTTGGTGATCACATAGAATTTAGTAGGTAAGCACTGCTTCTTGGCAAACGTGTGCTGGTCAGAATGACTCTGCCTACCCGAATAATGAATTGCCCTCTCATTTATGCCGAAAAAAAATAATTAAGATTTGCCTATTCGGATGTAAAAATATTCAAAACCTTTCTTCATCCTCACTTGTATTTTTGAGACATTGTGGTAACCGTTCCTAATACTTTTGCTCTTGCTGCAATCATCTTTCAGTTTGCTCCTGTTGAAAAGCAAGACTTTGCCTTCTGTTTCTGACTTCACAATACATGTGAAAGGGCCGTGCAAGAGACTCTCAATACCCTCATTTGCTCAGTATATTTCAGTGCTTTTGCATTTAAGCAAAGAGTGATTT